TATGTATTTTTTTTAGATACATTTATATATACATGAATATGTTTAGTGAATAAATTTATATGATTTCACGTTTTGTATTAATATGCTATAACCTTTGATCAAAGATTCAATAGAATTCTTAAACAAAACCAAGAATAAAATGAAAGTTATTGCACATATATTTAAAACTATGCTACAAATAAGCTGAAGTGGTTGGAACATGCTTCTAAAGTCTCAAGATTTTACAAAATTATAACCTTCTAAATACAATTGAATAGTCCTTCATGTCATATGTATACACAATATTCTTTTTGCATTTTATGAAATAAACAAAGACTATGATAGAACTTTAGAATTTTAAAGGCTAGATACAGTCAAAACATGCACATTATTATTATTCTGCAATACCAATTTGATTGACTGTGGTAGACTTCTTGTAAGATCTTTGAAATACTCTACTAGAAAAAAAGCTTGCATGATAACACAAATATTCAGGTCACGTGTCTAGAATAGCATGACCTAATAGAATGAAAAGGGTGTTTGACCACCCAAAAGAATTATAAAAATTTGCATTAAGGAAATTGCAAGAAGACGTAGGATGCACCCAACAATGATGTGAAGACTTGGCCATTTGTTAAAACCCGTAAGCAACCATACTTCATGTTGTGGATAGAAGTCACGCTATGATAAGGACCACGACTTAGTATTTGAACGACAAGCCTCTGTTTTCCTTGATGAATGGAGGGAAAATAGTTTTGCATGTCAAGTTGAGTGTTCCCTAAGTGAGAATGATAGAGTAAATAAGTAGAGCGTGCGCTATCAGTCGACCAAAAGAAAAGAAAAAAGTTATGGGCACATAACATTGGCATACGACAAGGTCGTCAGGCAAAAGATGTTCACCCAAGGAGAATTTGTGATGAAGGCAACAAATGCTGTCGTGTAAAATCAATATACTTCAAAGTGAGTACCTAAATAAAAGGAACAATATATTGCTCAAGAAGCTAACCTAAGTGACTACTACGCCTTACAAGATCCATAAATTGAAAAACAAGTAAGGCCTTTAAACTTTAAGTACATAAAAAGAAAAATTTTATGTGTGAGGATAGTATAAAAGAACGCATTGATTTTGATTAATAGCTAGTGCACTAGACATTACAAGCAAAGTTCTTAATACAATTGCATATCTTTTTTTATGTAAATACCAATATATACGCATGTTTATAAAACACAAAAATTAGTGCGCATGTTCATCTTTCATATCATATATGTTCTAATATGCATGTTTGTCTTGTTCTTAAAAAAACAAAAAGAAGAAGAAAGTAAAAGGAGAAAGAAAATAGATAATAGATATAAAATATAATACTAAATCTAAAGTTGTTGGCAAATTGGAAAGCACAAAGGGGTGACCTTTTCCAAATACACTCGACCATGAAACTCCATCAATCAACCTTGACAAAGTTAGAACAAGTAAAGGGGAGAAGAGGGGAATCGATCAAGAAAAGTAAAAAAGAGATAAAAATTCCAAACCCTTCTATCTCACCAACATGAAAGGCGCAACGTAGAAGTGGCAAAATGAAACACGCAATGCAAAAGTATGAAAGTGAAACACACAATGTGAAAGCGTAGAGGTAGACGCTTTCCACCATAAAAATTGAGCGTGACAAGAACAAGACTACATATAGGGCACGATCTTCTTACACTAGTAAGTCTAAAAATTCTTACACCTAATTTGAGTTTTTCATTTAATTTAAATCTAACGGTTTATAATTTATTACTTTACTGGCCGTCAGATTTAAGTTAAATGAAAGGCTCAGATTAGGTGTAAGAGTTTTTAGACTTACACCAGTGTAAGAAGACCTTTCCTCTATATATATTTATATCCATGTAATCCACATGGTAATAGGCTTTTTTAAAAAACATTTTCTTTATATAAGATAAATAAAAAATAATTTTCTTATCTGAAATTAAACACGTGACACTAGTACCGGACAAATGAGTGTTTATTCTTAATATTTTTTATTTTTTATATATAAAATCGTCCCAAACGATGCTGATATTGTAGGATAATAAAACGTGTCATTTGGGGGGAGTATTGTACCACTCGGTGTCGATTCTTATAGAAATTTAATACGTGTTATTGACTAGCATCGTTCCGTTATATGTCGACACTAGTGGAATTTTGACATCGTTCCGTACTCCTTTTTCCATCATACCATAATGTACCCTTTCATTCAATATCCAGCAAACTGTAATGAGCTCCACCCTTTTATCCAATTTAAATGTATCCATGTAAGAAGCAAGCTTTCAATTTGGAGCAAGAAGGAAAAGAAGTTCCTTTGAAGAACATTAGGTGAGTTTCTTTTTACTCTGCTGGTTGTGATTTATTTTTATTCAATAAATATATTATAAATATTATAATTTTAATTTGTTAGAAATAAAAATATTAAATTCTAATAGATTATTTTTTGTAAAATAAATTTTTATTTACTAAATCTAATTAGTTATTATATATATCCTATTAATTATGATGGTGTCTTTGGTTAATATTATATTATTTGTTATGTGTATAACTTTTAACACATTTTAAATTTGTATTTTTATAAACATATTTTAAATTTCTTAATCTACTAACAATAACCTATATATAAATTCTACTGCATTTAATATTTTTTAACACTTATAAACAATTTATTATTTATTATTTGTAATATATATTTATATATAGTTTTTTTATTACTCAATTTTCTATTAATTACAATTTAAAATTTATCTACTTAATTTAAATCTATAGTTTCAATATTTAAATTAAAAACTATTAACATTCTAATATTTAATTTTATAAACAAAAAAAAAAAAACCTCCATCGATGCTTTCAAGCTTTTTCAGTAAATTTCCCCTCCTTTGCATTGACCTCCCTATTGAACTTTCAAGCTTTGACACGATCCCTTTTCCTTGCATTTTCATTGTACAAAGTTAAAGGGCTACAAAAATATGTTTATTTTAAAATTTAATCAAGTTAAATTTTTTCCTACGTTTGAATATATATATATAATTTTTTTTTAGCACTGGTAATGGAGAAATGCAGTAATCGAAGAAGAAAGGTAAGGCAAAAAGTTTGCTGCACGCGTAACCATTCTATCTTGTGCCAGGACCAATCAAATTAGTATCATCCCTGATCAAGCCGATTCCACTGTCGTCGGTGACATAGTTACAACACGCGTGATTTAGCCACCTGTCGTCAATAAATCTGGCCCGTTCATTTATATTGAATTTTTTCTTTAAAAAATCCGCTAAATAGAAATGACACGTGTTACCTGTAGGATAGTATCGACATACATTTAGACAATACTATTTTAAATAAATAAAATAAATAAAAATAGGTATTGGCACTCCCCTAATCAATACCAATGCCACGTGTTTAATTTAACCAGACATAGGGAAATTGTTTTTTATTTATCTTATATTAAAAAAATATTTTAAAAATAATCCTATTTAAGCAATTACTCTAATCTATACAATTCATTACTTGAACAAATTATTGAAGGAGAAAATTGTTTCATTAATTACTTGGCTTTATTTTTTATCAATATTTTTGGAACTTGTTAAGATTAATTATTCAAGTAAAGATAGTAGTTATATAAAATCTTTTTTCAAGTAAGGATATTATGTTAGATTATTTCACAATTTTTTAAAGTGGTGTCACTTAGAGATATAATAAAATAATATAATTAATTATTAAAAATAAGTTTAGAGTAACTAATACATAACTATTTTTTTTTGAAAGTGACTTTAAAAAATAATTACATACTAACTATTAGTTAAAGTTACTTTTAAAGAGCCTTCATATATTAAACATTGTTTAAAGTTATTTTTGAAGAAACGTCTACTTCTCACAAATTAAAATTTTAAAATTTTTTAACAACTTTTAACTTAAAAACATACACAAAAATAAAGGCCATTCAACTTATAGCAGAATCATGAATTTTTCTTCATTTTTTTATGGTAACATATTGGTCTTTTCACAATAAGTACTTTTTTCATATTTTTCTCTGTTAATCTTTTATTCTGTTTACCAATATTTTATTCACTTAAACGCAAACTATTTGATTAACATAATATATAAACTTAAATTTTAATTAAACAAAAAATTAGTTTTAGTTTATAATAAAAAATACAAAAAATAAAATTTAAATTTCAAATATATAAATTTAAATTTAAATGTAACAATTAATTAATTTTAATTTATAATCATAACTTATTAAAAAAAAAAAATTTTTAATTTTAAAAACAATAATCCATATCTTAGAAAGCTGTTACAAAAACTTCTCTGTAAAATAATGTAAAACCATTCTCTAATACTGTAGTGGCAGAATTCTAACACTTAACTCTGATAAATTATTTCCTGTATATTGTAAAGTTCACCCGATGATTTGCTTTTAATACGAATGACCTATCACTGCAAGTGTTTAATTAATAGATTTAACAAATCAATGAAGAGTTTGTTGAAAATATTATTTTATAGACAGATTGCAATTCTAAATATTTCATATTTAAGTAGTGTCTAAAAGTGTTTATAAATAATTTATTAATATAATCTATAAATTTTATTTTTATATTTTAATGATTTTTATCATAATTTATTATAATATTTTTAATTTATTACAAAAAATTATGATTAACTTTATAATATAAACTTTTAACGTAACATATATGTTTTCAAAGGAAACAACCTAAGAAATATGATTATTTTGTTGCCATGTTAGGTTTCTCCAGGCGGATTAGTTAGACTGAAGCATCCAAACCTCTGATAATTTTCTCAGAGTGGATTAGTTGACTATTAAACATCACCTTATCAAATAATTTAATCATCGTAAAATCATCTTATTCCTACCATATAAAAAATATTGAATAAAAGAAAAGTCTGCCGCTGCATGGGTCATAGTGATGTTTGGTGGGGTTTTCAATGTTGTTCATTATGATAAGAAGTCAGAAACAATTAATGTGAATCACCTTGTGTTCACATGGATCAAACAAACAGTGTTGGTTCTTCACTCAGAAGGCGTTCGTTGAGTATGTCAAGTCATATAAGCATTCAGGTAGATAATGATGCTGAGAGTGTTTCTGAGGCTGGAGACATTGGTGATAGAGCTCTTCCAAGCAGAAGGTACAGTGAAAGAAGCAGTTTCAGGTTGTCATTTGACCACAGGTCAGAGAATGGAGCAGCTGGTTGCATCCAAGAGGAGGGCAATTTACAATTATATCCTCCCTTCTTGCATCATAACATCTCTGTTGGGCCTTTACCACCTGAACTCACGTCTCTTTCAACCAATGCAATAGTGAATTCAGGAGACACAAAGCAAGTGAGTGAGTCTCTTTAACACCGTTTTGTAGGTCAGAGCCTATGGTTTCTGTGTTTGTTGTGTTCTTATCATGCATGTTCACACATTGATATGTTCTGTTTCTACCTGTAGGAGCGTGCTGAAGGTTTACCTGTGTTACTTGACTATGCTTCATGTCTTCTTCACCTATCAGTTTTTGGAATTCTTGGGGTAATATCCTAGTAACCTTTTGCTGAAGCGCTAATGGTATACGCTTTTTCAAGAAGAGTATCTTGTGTTTGGTGTGATTTAGATAAGCTTCCCATCAAGGACTTACAAGAGAAGAGAGTAAAGAGTTAAAATGAACGAAACTTTTCTTCGAAGTTAAAATGTTCTCATGCACATCAACTTACGAAAAAAATTGATTTCCATATGTTAATTTTAACTCAGAATGTTTTGACTTTTTTTTTTTCCTTCTAAAAGTACTTTCAGAGTAGTTCATCCAAATTGAACCTTAGTACATTGAGAAATTTGACAAGACAACTAAACCAAGTCTAAAGGATTTACGTAATTGCATTTGCATGTGATATGTCATAAACTTCGTGAATTCTCAAGTGCACCTGCATTCCAGCTGCTCCAAATATAATCTTATTAAGTTAAAACAAATTTCATGTCAACTAAATGCAGGTCTTAACAAGATATATACTGCAAAAGTTATTTGGCCCTGGGCTTGCTGGTGTTACAAGTGACGAAACTATTCTTTACCTGGACCTTCCATCTAATATGGTTTGTCACCGTTTGACACTCAAATCCTTATTCAAGTTCAATCGTTAGGAAATTGCTAGATACATATGTTGATATGAATATTCTACATGTTCATACAGGTTGGTTCTTTTTTTATGGGATGGTTTGGTGTTGTGTTCAAAGCAGACATATCTCGTATATCGGAGCATCTAGCGATAGCAATAACAACTGGTTACTTAGGGAGTCTTACAACTTTTAGTGGTTGGAATCAGAAAATGGTTGACCTCAGTGTTTCTGGACACTGGCTCTTCGCTGCACTTGGATTTCTAATAGGTAAATAAGGGCGTTTAAAATAGTGTTTTGCTGGTATATAACTTCACATGTCTCAATCAAAGCTTTTCTCGCTACATATTTTTTTTTTTAATTAACGTATGAATGTAAGTCTAAGTATATCCCAAGTGGATAGGATAAGTTGAATGTATTTTTTCTTATACACATCATGGCTTAGTTGATATGAATTATTCAACGATTTTAAATTTTCAGGCTTGTTTCTTGTTGCCTTTTCCATCATATTTGGGATTGAGACAGCCGAGGGTTTCAGATGGCTTCTCAACTGGATAAATATGAATGCAGGAAGTGGTAGCATTAAGATCAAATGGAAGGTGGACAACTGTAGCCGTCAATTGGGAGTCATGGTGGTGCTTTCGGTGTTGTTAGGCTTATTATGGGGTGTTAGTGGAGCTTTAGTAAAAGCTGAGTTCAAGCATGGCGGTAGTGATGCTCAGTTATGGTTTGCCTGCATGGTTGGACCTCTCGGTGTGTGGGTTAGATGGTTCTTAGCACGGCTCAATGGACGTGGATTAGGAAGGACTGGATTGTTGAAGTGGATTCCATTTGGAACTCTAGCAGCCAATGTGTCTGCTGCTAGTGTTATGGCAGCACTTGCTAGTGTGAACAAAGCAGTAAGTTTCTACAACTTCTTTCCCCTCAGGTCTGGCTGCCTTATGCAATTCTAAGCTAGAGATCATATGATCAGAATTATATTTTAGAATGAGAATTACTTCTGATGGGTAATACTAATGGTAATTCTCTTTCAACTTCTTATACTGTACTAATGTATATCTTGATGCTTGCCCCACCTTCTGTAAAATCCTATTTCATTTTTCTAATCTGAATCCTATATTATGAATTCCCAATAAAAAGGTATGAGTATCAGCATCACATTTTGAAGGTCATGACCAGAATTTTCTGTCTGATGCAGGTCAACACCAGAGATTGTGATACTGTTGTAGCAGGTCTACAATTTGGTCTAATGGGTTGTTTGAGTACTGTTTCCACTTTTGCAGCAGAGTTCAATGCAATGAGAGAAAGCAAAAATCCTTGGAGAGCTTATGCCTATGCTGTGATTACAATATGTGTCTCATTCTCTGCTGGAATCCTAATATACTGTGTGCCTGTTTGGACAAAGGGATTTGACAGGTAACAAGTGCAAGTGGAGCGTGCTTTGATACTTTATGTGGTTGAACTTCTCCAAATTTTACCCATAAAAAGGACTGAACAGTTTACACAAACCGTAATATATTTACCACTCACAATTAATAGGCTCTATCAAGATAGAGTCAGAGAAAAGTATAATCACAAACTGAGCCCGGTGCTTATCCCTATTCCACTTGAAGGCCCAATTAATTGGGATGAAATACAAGTTAAATGGAGTTAATTACAATAGTTTGGCTCCATTATTTTATAATTTATCTCCCAAACGAGGTAATGAAGTCCCGTTCTGTTTTATTACCAACCTTCCTCCTGGACCAACAATCAATGAAAGCTCCATGAAGATATTAATGATGATTTTTATACCAACAAATTTATGCAAATATTCTTTAAATGGAAGGTGAAATCTTTTGAAGCATGCATTAATTGCCAACTTTTTATAATTTGTTCCACTATTCCATTTTCTTCTATGTCCATCTTCACTTGTTCCGTTCAATTAATGAAGTAACATTCAAAGTGAATCTAATAGAAAAAGAAAAGTGTCCTGCAAAAAGATCCAGAACTTCTTATTATCTTGGAGAAACTTCATTTGGGTTGCCTGCTAACTGGCTATACACCGAGGGACTAGCCAATCCTTGTTAGAGTCATAGCTCTTGCTTGAGGCTTAATCAAGCTTACTGCCCCAAGTCAACAATCTTCAATGCTTTCTATATGTAGAGTTGTCAATGAGGCAGGAAATACTTATTCAAGGCATGGTTATTCGAACTGAACATATCTTATTGTTAATTGATATGTAACTTAAATACAATGCTTTGGATTTATCCGGTTTCTGTAATTTCTTGTCAGATATTTAATTTGGTGTAGGATACATTTTGTGCGATGAATTTAATGTCTAACTTTGCTCAATAAATTCTTATGCTCAATGTTTTGTTTCACTATCTCGTATTGTGCGGAAGTAACTATTGTAGGATCTAATATTTAAATGCTAATTTATGATGATTTAATACATATTTCCGCATTTAAAACAGAGTATTCTTCAATGATAACCAATTAAGTCAATTCACATTTCACAGTGAGATTTGAGACATTACAATATAACAGTTAATTAAACAATTTTTTTTCGTCTAGTGGCTATAAAAGTGTGACATTATTCTCTCTGTTAGCTGTGGGATATTAACAAAATAAAACACAAAAGTCACTAGAAGAAGCAGAACGATACTGCAGGACTACTGGCGTGTTTAGTTGATATTAAATCCATTCAAATGTGGATCCATTCTAACATTTTTAGTTTTTGCGTTAAATTATGATTCAATGTAATTGCTGAACTAGAGTAAGAATGACAAAAAAGATACTGAACAGAAGAGGAAGTAAAGGAGCACCTTATTGATTCAGTAAATAACCTGAAAGCACTGCAAACACAAGAGAACATCATAAGACTCCTAATTCAAAAAGGAAACATCAACGATTCAACGAATTTAGGGAAAACAATATATAGGGAAAAGAACAAAATTTGAACAAAAGGGAACTGACTGTGTATCCGTATTGGGCCGTCTTGTGAGTTTATAAAATCCTATTACACTTTTATTTGGTTTAGCATTATGATGATGCATAGTTCTAAAGCATTTTATTAACAGCAAAAAAGTCTCATCTTCTTAATTAACCTATCTATCCAACTACATGATTTGCATAGGCATTCTACAGATCACCATTTGCATCTAAAATGAAAACCCTAACCTTCAATCGAAGAAGATCCAAGTACTCAACTCACATTTATTTCACTTTCTTTTATTTCAAATTATGATTGCCCCGGCGAGAAATTAACAAGATGCTCCTGAGCACGATGATTCGTACATTAAAAGTAGTAAAGTTTTCACGCCTCAAATTAAATCATGATTCGAAATATTGATTATTTACCGATATTGTCCCACTGAATTCACAAACAAACAACAATGACGATGCATGCCATTATTGATGGTGATAGATCTTCAAAAGCATGGATCTGATTCCTCAATTAAGACTAGTAGATCACACACATTATGATGATCACGTGAATAAATAAAAAGAGGGCATAACAAATTGAAGATTCAAGAAATCGTTATTGTATCTTTCAATTTTATATTTAACGAAAAAAAAATTACGATGAATTAATTATTGTTACAATAACTGTAACTAGAGTTTATAACCGTGGTGGTTAAGGCTAAAACTGATATGTATCGGCGTGGGTGAAAGAGGGAGTAACCGCGAAGAGTTTCTTCCTGAGGAGGCATCGTGGGCGATTGAGATTGATGGTGGGAGCGAAGCAAGGAATCCCATTATCCTGATTCAGAAGCTGTTCTTCATGGGAGGGGGAAGAAGGTGATGCTGGTGTTAACAAGAAGTGAGAAAGAGGAATATTGGTGTTTCTGGATGCGTGTCTCTTGAAGTCCCTGAGTTTGGCGAGTGCACCCGGTTTAAGGTACCTGTGGTAGCATCGTGGGCTTTTCTTTGGGTTTGGGCTTCCACTCATAGTCATTGCAACAATAGATGAAGAGAAAATGAATGAGTAGGTGCAGTGGAAGAGGGGGAATTTAAAGGGATGTTAGTGGCGGGAAACAACGGTACGCTCCGCGTGGAGGCGGAGGATTCTATGCGGTGAGGTGCGGGGTGCAAATTTAGGGCTACCATTTGCTTGCGTATGCAGCCTCCTCAATCCATGTGCTACCGTATCCCATATTAAACTTTTTTCCATCACAATCTTGTAATTTTTTACGACAGCTACTATGTCCTTAGTAGCTAAATATTATTTTATACTTTATTTAATCGATGATTATAATTATTTTAATATTTTAAAAATTTTAAAATATTATATATTTTTAAGATAAATCACTAATTTTTTATATTTATTATATGTATTTAATATAATATTAATAATAATAATTATTATTTTACATGTATAAAAGTATAAAATATCTTAAGATAAAGTAGAAATTACTTTATTTCAATAATGTTAAATCATAAAATTTAAATACATTTTTGATTGATGAAATATGAGGTTTTTAATATTTATGAAAAAGTATTTTTTAATAAATTATTTAGTTTTTTTATTGAAAATTGTTAAAATAACTATGCATTTTTAATTCTTGACAAGAGAATGAAATATTAATTTTCTATTCAATTAAGGATTAAAAATAATGATTTAATTGAAATGTATCAATATTGTAAAGATTTTTAATATTATCGTTTAATTATGTATTGTACTAATATTTTAAATTTTTAATAAAATAAAAATTAAGAATAAATCATTCTTTCAATGAGGGTGTACTATAAAATTAAATTACTCAAAAATAATATTTGAAAGCAAGTAATTTCAAAATATATGGAGCATAAATCTTAAAAGAAAGAGAGAATTTTGATTAAAAATAAAGCTAAATGAATTATTTGAGATTAAAGGTGGATGGGATTTAAAAAAAGTTTTACACAAAAAAATTAAAACTAAACTTTTTTTTTAATGTATTATATAGATATTTTTAAATTAAAAAATATTAAAAAATAAAGTTATATTAAAATAAATTTATATAATAAATATATTAATGAAGATAAAATATAATTTTTATTATTAATATGTAATAAAATTAATTAATATAAATTTAAAATATTACTGTATTATGTTAATTTTTAATTTAATATATTATATAAATTAAAAAACTCGGTTCGACTTTAGCTATGAGTTAACTAATAAACTGTAAACCAATATTTTTATCAGTTAAACAGTCGATCTGTTTTAAAAAGACTCGTTCCACTAAGTCAACTAAACGTATTCCACATTTTCTTCCGTAGTGTTTCATTATGGTTTAATATGAGTAATTTTTATTAATCGATCCACTATATTATAGTAAATTCTGCCTGATCAATATATAAAAAATTTGTTTGCTAATTTATTGCTTTGTTGATTACCTAATTTAGCTTAAATTTATTTACTTACGGAATAATTTTTTGGGGATAACTTAATCCTTCAGTAAATTAAATCTTTTTGCAATACGACAATGAATATAAGACATTTGTCTGATCTAAGCGTAAATAAACATTTTAATTGGCACACATATCCAATAGAGTCTAATCCATATTATCAGACCTATGTTAGCAGAACCTATAATATGACGGAAAGTTCACGACAATTCTCAAGAGATCAGCCTCTAAATTACATATATGAATGAATGCATTGCTTTAAGTATATGAAACCATAACAGCCTTCAGAATCCAAACTTTTACCATGTAAAACATCATCAGTCACTTGAGTTAGAAATCATGACAGAAGAATAACAAAGAAGAGACTCAGAGAGAATGAAAGACCAAGTACAAGAAACCTTGATAGTTCTTGTATTTGGTTGCTAGACGAAGGATTTGGGGTTTTCAAAACTGTGATTGCAATTGTAATACATACATTTGGTAAAATTGAAAGGAGATGTTATACTCTTTTTAAATTTATAATTATGATTATTTTAATATCTTGAAAATTTAAAAATATTTATATTTTTTTACGATACCTACTAAATCTAATTATTATAAATATTTAATATATATAATGTTAACAGTGATAATTATTTTACATGTGAAAGGCATAAAATATTCTCTTAATCTTGAATGCACCATAAAATTTACCTTTTCTAAATATATCTATTTTTTTTTAAGACTCTAAATCCATGATTTGGATTACAATTTACAAACCTTGGTTATACGACGATTTACGATTCCCACTTCAAAAAGAGGGAAACGACAATAATTTTAGCAAAAATGATGTTGAAGAATAGAAAAAAAAAAAAAAGGCATAAAAATTGACTAAGGTTTATCATGTTCTTGGCTATTCCGTTTCGTAAAAATATTTTTTCTTATTACTCTCGTTGGATTTGGTTTAGTTGATCTCTTCACTCAACTGCATGATATGCATGGGACTTTTTTACAGGCTACCGTTTTCTTCTCCCGTTCCAACGACCCCTACCCCAATCAATATAGTTA